TCTGGGTTTTTTAAGCCAGCAGAAAGCAAAGGAGAAAGCATGCCGAAGAGGAGCAGGGCAATGCCATCAGTTGGGTTTTTGACCAAGAAATAAGAGGCCACCATCCCTTTTCCTTAGGAATGGCTAAGCAGTGCAGCTTGCCATGAGAGATGCACTTTCTGGCTTCCAGCTGGGAGGAGGAGATGTACCAGGAGCACAAGTCACAGGCCCAAAGGCAGTCCATGTCCACCGCTCCCACTGGTTTCCCACGTTGTGTGAGTGAGCACTGAGGATCTCTGCCATTCCATGTCTTGGCTCCTGCTGGGTTTCTGTTGGCAGTGCTGCACTCGTAAATGCTTTTTATTTCTTCCTGAGCCTCTGAAAGGTTGCCAGCCAATGCCCTGACTTAATGTATGGGTGGAAGCAGATACCTGGGACGTTGCCACCACTAGCCGGCGGGACAGCAACTGCCTGAGCCCGTTAAAACGTGAGCAAGAAGGAGCATCCCTTGCTTTTCTCTGGAATTTAGGCATCTGACTACTGCTCTGCAAAGACAGACTCCTACTATTGAAAGATTGGGCTCATCAGATTTCTTCTAGATGTGAACTGTCACACCACCTCGTTTCAAAAACGTTAAAGGCCACGGCCAGAGAGTCATTTTAGCTATTAGTTCTATGATTAATTCATCTAGTAAGGGAAAGACCAATGGAATTTGCAACTAATTTCCCTACCTTCCAGGACCACATGTTAAAAATCATGTTTTAGGCTGTTCCCTGTAGTAAACAGTTCATTTTGCATAGTTCCAGTCAGAATCCCTGAAAACAAGCTAGTGTTATAAAGCATTGTGTTTTACTACATCCCTCACTTTGTTCTTGCACCCATTCCAGGCAGCACTACTCAGTTTCCTGCTTTCAACTGTGTGCAATTTTACCCATTTAATGCTCTGGATTTAAATTGCCCATGCATGTGCCTGCCTCAGGTTGAATTAGATTAGAAAACTTCAGCTAAAGTCTTTGGTTAAGTCTCAAAGACAAATTTTCTCTCTCCCTCAAGTTAAATAAACAATAGACATTTTTTTTCTGTGGGATTTCTGTTACCTTTGCAACGGGAACCTGAAATGTCTCAGAGCTTAGGGCTTGAATTAGGGACAGTCTTTTGCCATGTCTTAAGAAAATCTTCCCATTAATATCTCTCTGTTCTCCCAAATCCCTAGATCCATTTAAGGTAAGGCTTCCTCAACAGCAACAAATGAAGGAAAACTCCAACACTCTCTCACTACATAATCCTGTACCATCCTTACATCTCATCCAACCTGATCAAAGGAGCCACATGGGGAAAATATTATGGGATAGCATAAGTTAAAGATGTGGTTATGGATACAGCCTTCAAAGCACATACCCAAGGGGCTTAAACTACGATTTCATGGACCACCTTAATTTTGGAATTTTGCAACTTCTTCAATTTGAGTTTGCACAGCCTTAAGAATGTAATTGCAACACCTTTTGAGTGTTATTACATAGGCACCAGTCATTCTTTGGGAGTGTTTACCTGCAGTAGGAATTACGTGGTGTCATGTATATGACAGTCTTAAAGCTTTACTCTGAATTAAAACCACAGCTATGTCTACGGAATATTAGTTTTGATGGCAGCTCCTAAGCTACAGAAGAACTGGATTAAGAAAACCACAGGTGCCATGAGTTACATAAACACAACATTAAATACACTGGTCTATTTTATACCTCTTTTCAAGCTGTTTTTAGGCATTTCTGGAACAGGCTGAGCAGCCATTTTTCCTCATCCCTCTGTTGACATCTTCATGTTTACTTAAGCCCAATTAAATCAATGGAATAAATAAAGACAAACAGTACACTTAATTAGATATGCAGCACGACTAAACGAAGGAGGACAAATACTTCCAGCCTTCCATAAGCCTAAGAGGAACTCAAAGCACGTATGAGGAGGGAGGCACTGTGCACTGTATGTATACAATCACAGTCACATTTAACAGCTATTAACAGCAGAGCTCCTCGTTTGTTATTTGCCTTGTTTACAGGCCTTCAGAGCAAGGAAGCAAACAAGATCATATATCATGGCCTTCCAGAAACATTACAACTTCCTTTGATTCACAGCAGTAAAGAGTCAACGGAAAATTCATTTAATGTAAAACAAAGCCACATAATTCTGGTAATGCCAACTGAGACTTTCACTCTTTTTTAACTGTTCATTGAAGAAAAGTGCTGAACCCTCTGGGGCACTGATTGCATGCTACTGGTGAGGGACATTCTGAATTTTTCTTTGCATAGAGACGGAAAATGACCTCACCAGACACAATATGAAGAAATACCAAGAAAATCATGGCCAGGTGATAACAGAAATATAAGTCTCTCAAGTCATTGTAAAATATCTCCCTTTCATTCTGTGTCAATCAATGCATGTCCTAAAATGTCAAGGGCAGCAAAACACTCAAAAAAGTTGCACCTTAAGGTGGTCTGATAAACCTTGTAGCACAGTGCTTAAAACTACACACTACATCTCCATGGTAGTCAAAAGTCAAAAAGTAAAGGTAAGTCCAGCCTTTAGCAGTTCCAGAGCAAAGTTTCAACGCACTTCACAAACAGAAATATGTATTATGTCTTGTGCTTCTCTGAATGGTTTCTACACTGAACTGTATTGGCCAACTTGTACAACTCCAGTAATTCATCTCTGACCTCACCTCAAAGTGTTGGGAAAAGCACTGTATCTCTTGAACTTAGAAACACAGAATAATTGAGTTTGGGAAGGACCTCTGGAGGTCTAAGGTCCAATCCCCTGATCACAGCAGGGCTAACATCAAAGTTGGAGCAGGTTGCTTGGGGTTTTGCTCAGTGAAGGCTTGGACATCATCTAAGACAGAGACTCCAAGGTCTCTCTGGGCACCTGCTCTGCTATTTTACCATCTCATTATGAAACATCTCCTGCTGCCCAGCAGACACTCTGTTGTTCTAAACTTGCAATTACAAACACTCATTCTTCCACTGAGCACCTCCATGAAGAGCCTGACCTCATCTTTTCTACAACAACTAATCAGGAACCTGAAGGCTGCAATTAAATCCCCATTGCACTCATCATGCTCTTCTCCTGGCTGCATGAGCCCATGTCCTTTACTGTCCCAGCCAGCTCCAGACCACCTTGGCCAACCTCCACCAGCTCTCTGCAGTTTCTCAACAACTTCCTTTGCTGGACAGCCAAATGCAGTCTCAACTACCATCCTGAGTGGCAATGTGAAAAACTGGGAACTGCCATGATTCACATTAAGTATGAAACACAAGCAAAGTGAGAAAACCTCTCCTGTTTCAAAGCTGTGTCCATTACTGTTTTGAAGTAAACACTCAGCTCTTACGCTTTTACCTCCAAAAACATTTCTTGCCCTGATTAGCTACTTCAAAAGCTCCTGAGCCTCTTACAGCTCATGGTCATTTATTTTTGTCGATGTAGAAACAACTGCTTTTGATAGCTCTGTAATGAGTGCATTGCTAAATACGCAGAAGACCAAACCACTATCTTACATCCATATCTGGTTTGAGATGTTTTAATTTTGCAGTCCATGATGACACTGCATTCCCTTTTTCCAATTGGATTCCAACCTCGACCTCAATATAACTCTGCAGGCACCTACCTTCAAGGCTTGCAGCATAAAATTCACCATTGATCTTGATTTCTGGAAGTTGCTTCTAGCTGCAGTATCACAAATGCTAGCAAAGCACACACACTTTTATTTGCAAGCAGGATTGATTTCCCTGTCCAATAAATTTTGACCCCCTGACTGACTTTCTTCAGATGAGGGAAAGCTGCTTTTGTATTTGAACTTTTAGTCTACCTTTCCCCAGGAGAACCAAACTCTTCAAAGTCCACATTTTCACTGAGCTTTAGCTACAGATACCTTTTTTTCTCTCTGATAATTCTCTAACGTCCAAGTCATAATGGAGGTGCTTTCAACAAGGAAAATGGCTGACATTACATTTTCAACCACATGCAGTGAATCACCAGTTCCCCCTCTTAAAAAAAAAGCCCCGAACTAAACAATTCTCCTTTGATATAGCTCACTGCTTTGGGACCAATCTCATACTCATTAATTATTTAGGAATTCCTAAATCAAAGACAGACTATTAAGATGGACAGCAACAAAGCATCTTCTCCAAGAAAAAGATTTCATAATGGTTCAGGAAATTGAGTGGTAAGTTCTTTTTTTGTTAATTCTTTTCCTGTTTTGTTTTTTTTTTTCTTCAAGAGCACCCATATCCTATTGATTATGTGTCATTTTTGCCATTAGAAAAACCCCCAACCTTCTGGGATAAGCAAGTGATGCGACCCCTGTTTGACTGCCTCTGTATTCACTTAGATTTCAACTTTACTGTCTTGGAATAAACACTAGGAGAATGGAAGAGAAATTAAATTATAGTCATCAAAAGCAGAGCACTAAAACACAAAATATGAAGGAACACACATCCTCAGATGGAATGGTTGATCCGCCTTTTTGTCTGAATGCATCATAAAAGAAGTTATGTTTCATTACTGAAAAAACATTTCGGCTTCTTTCATGGTTGCAAAGAAGGGTAATTAAGACTGTCAAGAAAACACATTGAACAGCTGTATATTGTTAACAAAAGCACCATTATCTGACTGTTCTGAAAATCCCCAGTAATTTAAACAGTCTCAGTTCCTAGAAGTTAGATATTTTTTCCAAGCTCCAGCAGATACCAAAAAATTTTCTTTTCTATAAAACTTGGTCCTGTATCAGTTGTATTTCAAGCCAGTATGATGGTCCTAGTTTGAGAATACATCCACATACACAAGGAGGAGTGAATGGCAGTACCAAAGCTTTGTCAATTACAAAGTCAGTCAATGAAAAAATAAAAAATTAAACTAGTTTTTAAGACAGAATTAGCTGCATTTTTCCCAGACTGTAGATACATCTGAAAACCAAATAGAGACAGAGTAATCCTTTCAGCATGCACTGGAAAAAGCCATTATGGAATACTTACTCATCGAAGATCAGGTCTGGAGCAAAATAGAGGAACTGGCTGTTTGTGTGTTTGTATGACCTCCAACTCAAGGCAAACGATGACAGACACATCCATGAATACTGAATTAAAGTAATTTGGTCCTCGAGAGGCAAGTTTCTGAATCCTAGAGAACAAATCAGAAAATATCTATGAGCTACAAGGGTCCTGGTGCCCTCAGTGTGAGGAGGACATGGAAGTGTTGGAACAAATCCACAGGAGGCCACAAAGTTGCTAAGAGGATTGGAGCACCTCCCCTGTGAGGACAGGCTGAGGGAGTTGGGGCCGTTCAGCCTGGAGAAGAGAAGGTTGAGTGGAGACCTCAGAGCACCTTCCAGGAGCTGAAGGGGCTCCAGGGAAGCTGCAGAGGGATCTGTGTTAGGAGCTGCAGGGACAGGACAAGGGGCAATGGGCACAAATTGAAAGATGGAAATTTAGGTTAGATATTAGGAAGAAGTTTTCCCTGTGATGGTGGTGAGACACTGTCCCAGGTTGCCCAGGGAGGTAGCAGAAGCCCCAAGCCTAGCAGTGTTCAAGGCCAGGTTGGATGAAGCCTTGAGCAGTCTGGTGTGGTGGGAGGTGTCCCTGCCCAGGGCAGGGGTTGGGACTAGATAATCTCTAAGGTCTAATTCTAACTCCAAAAATTCTATGACTCAAAACATATTTTCTTCTTAAGAGGCTATTCAGAATGGAAGCTTTTAAAATACCCATCACAGATATCTGAAACCAACACTACATGAGTCAAACAAACTCCAACCATCTTCTCGCAGATGTTCATCTCCCACCTCCATGAGGGTTTTTTCCACCACAGTCCATAGATTAAAGACACAATTTGTCAAGCAAATAGTTCATTAAGCTAAAAAGCATTGAAGAGACATTTCACGAAATGATGCATGGTCATACCTGGAAGTATCTTTGCCCACTTCACCACCTGAATCATCTGCTTGCCGGCCAGGCGGTTTAAGGTGGACAGCAGGTACTCTGCTGTGTCTGGCTTCGAACTGTCGTATCCTGCGTACACGATCTCCGGTTCAATGCTTTCAAGGATCTTGACAGGAGAGGGAGTAAGTGCTGGTGAGATAGCAGACATGTGGGGAACAAGTGCTGTGTTTACAGAGGGCTCTGTCACGGGTGCGATGTACGTCGTCCCCTCCTCGGGGCTCTGGGGCGGTGGCTGCTGCCGCTGCTGGGGCTGCTCCTCGTGCATCCCTTTCAACTTCCCCAGCTTTTTTGACTTCCGGGCTGTGAAGATGAGCAGCACAAGAAGCAAGTCAGTACTGAAAGCCAGCAAAACCCTGGTTTTATAGATGATGGAAGGAGAAGTATAAACTCAGAGTTCTCAAGTGAAACAGGTGCCGGACCTGAATAAATATCTCACGGCTTGCAGCATCATCACACTGGAAAAAGGACCAAGATGAACCGATAGGCTCTTTTTTTTTTTCCAGTTGAGTAAGGGAAAATTAGGCTAGACATAAGGAAAATGTTTTTCCCTGTGAGGGTGGTGAGACACTGGCACAGGTTGCCCAGGGCGGCTGTGGCTGCCCCAACCCTGGCAGTGTTCACAGCCAGGTTGGATGAGCCTTGAGCAATCTGCTCTGGTGGGAGGTGTCCCTGCCCAGGGCAGAGGATTGGGACTAGATGATCTCTAAGCTCCATTCCAACCTCTAAAATTCTACAATTTTCTTTGCTTTATTGGATGTTTTTATATGTGACAGAATGTCCACTATCTGTCTCCATACAGACATGCATAAAACATCCGAGTTACTCGGCTTGGTGCCAACTAGACATTTCAGAACTGTATTTGTTTTGTAGCTTAAATGAATCACTTATCACCTACAAGACTGCAGTTCATGTTCTCCGTTGCATTTGGTCATCCAAAGAAATCTACCCAAATTTAGCAGACCCAGAGACCTCCTAAGCTTTTGCCTCAACTTAAGATGCAGGCAATCCATTTTTATCATGCCAAGCTAGTCAAATCCCTTTGTTTTTGCTGCTTTCCCACTTCCATAAGATAATTCTTTGCTGCTTTGATACTTCCATACTTCCCTAAGAGCTTCATCCTCTTCTTTTGAGTAATTCTAAAATAATATTTACACAGTTAAAGAAAAAGGACTGAGCCTCATACAAGACCTTTCTCATCACTATCAACATTTCTCTGATGATTTGCCTTCCCTTTTCATTTATTTCCCTTTTCTGGCAGAGATGCCAGCCCTTCTCTGTGGGTTGCCTTCCCAACTTTGCCATGCAAAGCAGAGATACATAAGCCAGCAGAAAGCTCTGCTCCTGCCCCAGAAAAATAATCTGGTAACATGAGGAAAAAATGGGAAATAAAAATCAAGAAAATTCAGTTCAAGAAAACCCCCACAAAGAACCAAACCATCACAACCCTGTTCACGATAGGAAAACGTAACAAAAATAACCTTTAAAATCAATAAATAATGAACTAAATTTAAATGTTCACAGCTCTTTCAGAGTAACATCTCTCAAATATAGTCTTTCTTCTCTATCTGTACACAGCTAAAACCCTTGTCTGGACTTTTGTTTTGTGTCTCTTGATTATTACAACATTTCCTTTACTGCCATCAGTAAATGCAAGCCTATCTCAGCTCTACTTGAACTACTACTGCAAACATCCTTCTTAGCCCATGCTCGTTCCCAAGTCTACCTCCTTGAGTTTTTTCCCCTACCATCAATTCCCTTCACTCATACTTTCTTAAATACAGTGCCTTTTCTGAAGTTTCAGGATCCTTTCTTGCAAACAACCATCTCACCCCTCCTCTCTTCTCCACCATCAAAATTTTCACTTCCACTCCAACTCAGCATGCCATGCCACTGCCTCCTGGGGAGTTTTCAAGGCTTTCTCCATGTGTTTCTTATTACGGTGCAGAAAACTCCTCAATAAGACTCACAGAACTACCTTATGGCTCTTCTACAAACTCCTTAAAATCCGTATTTTAAGAACCCAACCTCAACAGCAGAGCTGCTGGTGCCCTCAGACCATTGCTGGTGACAGCAGCCATGAGTATTTTACTGTTTCCTTGACATTAGGGCTGCCTGCCCAGAGCCAGCAGCTGGGAACGAGCGAGGCAGGATACAGACGCCCAGGGACCAGGACAATGCACGCCCAAGTGCAACAATAGCCTGTTGTTTTCAACACTTCCTTGCTGGGACAGTACCTTGAACTCTGAGGAACTGGTTCATCCCAAGATCCAACAGAAAAATTTATTTATTAGGGTAAACATTGCTACAGAAAACAGTGATGCTACTACTACTCATACACAAGATCTTGAAGGTCGAAGCGTTGCTCCTTGACTATCATCTTAAAACCTGAACACAATTCATTACTGTTGCAGCATGTACTGCACTGAAGAGTGAGTCCAAAATCTGAGCATCAGTTTGATGTTGTTTCCACCACACTTTGAAGGATCTTTCTGGCTGATCTCAGCACCAACATCCCTCAAGTGATCTACAGAGAACTTCAGAGATCTCCGTGTAACGTTCCTCACCTTTTCTTCAAAGAGCTGAGAAAATTAGGTAAAGGAAATTAATTTATTCACTCCCTTACAGGAGGTATGTCTGTTTTCAACATTCTCTTAATTTCTCCGTGCCTTCAAACATCCAGACCAAGTGAGGGAGGTTGAATTTTCTAATAAAAGGGTTGAACATGCAAATAAAAATGTGCTGGCCTAATAAAATTTAAAATTCTCCTGTTCAACTAGCCTCATACATTTAAAAACCTCCTAATTATCAAAAGCATGAGCACAGGTTACATAGGAGTAGCTGTCACTTGAGGTTATAAGGAAGTGGCAATACAAATATCTGTCAGGAAAGGTTTCATTGCAGCTTATTGTGTCTCAACAGACAGGACAGATGAGAAGATCTTTCAAAAAGTCCCTTCCAATCCTATTTCTTACTTTTCTGTCACAAAATATGTTATATACTTCGCATTTATCTTAGAAAGGCAAAGCTGAAGTTACAGAGTTTTCAACAAAATAAACCCAAAAAGCAAAGCAAGGATGGCCAAGTTGAGCAGAATATCTGATGATGAGTGAACAGAGCTACTGGCCATTGAAAACAGTTTCAAAAGAAGCCTGAAGGAGTGGATAGAGATTAGTGTTTGTTGTTATTATTCATTATCAGGCACTATTTTTTTCCGTTATCAAAACAGGACTAAAAATAAAGAACTTTACATATCTTTTGTGCTTGCAGAGGCAACAAAAAAAAATGCATTCTCACCATAACTACATCAGGATAAAAAAATGTATTGGTTTACCAACTCCATCAAGTATCTAACAACACAGATAAGTGATTACATACTTAAGACATAATTCTGTATGTTCTATTCTCCTAGAGTTTTTCATTAAAAGAAAAAAAGAAATAACATTCTTTCACATATCAGACTGGCACAAAAACGTGTTTTACTTTCATTTTCTTCCATTATAATGCCTTTAAAATGAAGCTGAGAAAAACATTACTACTTGACAGTCATGTTTACAGTGAAGAAAACTGTATTTTTCATTTGGCTTCATGCCAGCGCTGTAGCTCAACTGGTTTGGTAACTCCCACAGAAACCAACAACCGAAGATTAAATACAAACTCTGAGCAGTGTATACTCTGAGTTGGTCTTTAGAAGCTGTTTTCCACATTTGCTCTCTCACTGCAATACCAACTGCAAAACCAACTAAGCCACCTCTGAATGAGTAAAATTAAGTTATGGAGTCCACACAGCTGATAACAATTTTTTATAGGCTCAAAATTAGTAATTTTCATCAGCATTACTGTTAAAAAAATGGGACTCAGAAATGCCAAAGAACGAAACACGCAGTAGCAGATAAAACTCCCTAAATATTACGATTTAATTCAGGTTCCAACTTCAGCACTCCAGCTCTGCTCAAACTACAACCACCACCTCCTTCCCAACATCAACAGGTGTCAACTTTCTCCCTTCCACCCCACGCCAAATGCTTCAGGGCTTTCCTGCACACCCCTCCATGCCACCTGCTTCTCCTCTCCAAGGAAACCTGCAGCACCTTGGTGCACCACAGTCACCAAAGGTGCAAGCTGTCAATTCTCCCCTCCAGGCAGCTCTAACAGCTTTTGGGTAGACTATTCTCTGAGCCCTCACCAAGCATATGCACTTTGTTGCTCGTTTCCACCTTTGTATAGATAAATGTTCCATCAAAACGCCACTTTTTCCTCCTCTGAATCTTTTCATCATGTTTGCCTGGTGACTTTGCCTCACTTACTTCAGTGAGCTGACATCTGTTCTCATTAGCTATTTTACTGCTACCACAAATAGTGTTTCCCTTCCCCCAAATCTGTTGTATCTTGACATATATGAAAATTTTGAGCTATCTTGGTACAGACATTTTTTCACTTAAGTGTCTAGCACAATGGGAATGAGATTTTGCTGAGAAATTTCTAGACAATAATACAGACTCCATACACACATATAGAGATATATACATACAGAGACATATGCATGGAATAAAGTGAAAAGCAGTAACAAAAATGAGATGTTACAGCATCATCCTATTTGCCCACAAAGTGCATTCAGGCACACACACTTTTTTCTTCAGGAAGCAAAAAAACCCCAAAACAACCAAAACCACAACAATCAAGACAGGACCCTAAAGCTTCATAAAACCTATTATCCCCTGTTGGAATCAAACCACTGATTTTCAGGGAGAGCTGTAGCAAATGAAGAACCTCTAAACATGACCCTGAGTGTTAAACCTTGCAGTGTTCACAGCCAGGTTGGCTGAGCCTTGAGCAACCTGCTCTGGTGGGAGGTGTCCCTGCCCAGGGCAGGGTTTGGGCCTAGAAGATCTCTAAGGTCCATTCCAACCCTTAAATTCTATGATTCTATGACTTGGGATATGCTGAAGAGACCAAGTAGTCTGTCTAAATATGCAAAAAAAGGAAAACTGCAGCTGGTAAGGAAGAAAACAAAGGTCCTGGCTTCACATAGCAAAATAGATTTTAAAATCTGTTTCTGACAGCTGTGACCCAGAGGAGATAGAAAGTGATAAAAAATGCTATCACTTGCTGTTGAGCCTGTGGAATCAGTAGTCTAATTAACAAAGCAACGAAGATTTCCTATTTTCTTATCCTCCACCAGCAGCAGAGAGCTTTTACTGGAGAATGAGCTCAAATCCAATGTAGACTGAAATGACAGGCACAACTGAAACAACGACATCGTTTGGCATTGCCAGCATAATTCACAACTGCTTACTAATTAA